TTAAGTGACATCCCGTTCCTAATCCATAGGGTTCAATATGACGTCGGTCCACCCTTTGCAGCTAGAACAGCTTCAACTCTTCTGGGAAGGCTGTCCACAAGGTTTAGGAGTGTGTTTATGGGAATTTTTGACCATTCTTCCAGAAGCGCATTTGTGAGGTCGCACACTGATGTTGGACGAGAAGGCCTGGCTCTCAGTCTCCGCTCTAATTCATCCCAAAGGTGTTCTATCGGGTTGAGGTCAGGACTCTGTGCAGGCCAGTCAAGTTCATCCACACCAGACTCTGTCATCCATGTCTTTATGGACCTTGCTTTGTGCACTGGTGCACAGTCATGTTGGAAGAGGAAGGGGCCAGCTCCAAACTGTTCCCACAAAGTTGGGAGCATGGAATTGTCCAAAATGTCTTGGTATGCTGAAGCATTCAGAGTTCCTTTCACTGGAACTAAGGGGCCAAGCCCAGCTCCTGAAAAACAACCCCACACCATAATCCCCCCTCCACCAAACTTTACACTTGGCACAATGCAGTCAGACAAGTACCGTTCTCCTGGCAACCGCCAAACCCAGACCCGTCCATCAGATTGCCAGATGGAGAAGCGCGATTCGTCACTCCAGAGAACGCGTCTCCACTGCTCTAGAGTCCAGTGGCGGCGTGCTTTACACCACCGCATCCGGCGCTTTGCATTGCACTTGGTGATGTATGGCTTGGATGCAGCTGCTCGACCATGGAAACCCATTCCATGAAGCTCTCTGCGCACTGTTCTATAGCTAATCTGAAGGCCACATGAAGTTTGGAGGTCTGTAGTGATTGACTCTGCAGAAAGTTGGCGACCTCTTCGCACTATGCGCGTCAGCATCCGCTGACCCCGCTCCGTCAGTTTACGTGGCCTACCACTTCGTGGCTGAGTTGCTGTCGTTCCCAAACACTTCCATTTTCTTATAATACAGCTGACAGTTGACTGTGGAATATTTAGGAGCGAGGAAATTTCACGACTGGATTTGTTGCACAGGTGGCATCCTATCACAGTTCCACGCTGGAATTCACTGAGCTCCTGAGAGCGACCCATTCTTTCACAAATGTTTGTAAAAACAGTCTGCATGCCTAGGTGCTTGAATTTATACACCTGTGGCCATGGAAGTGATTGGAACACCTGATTCCAATAATTTGGATGGGTGAGCAAATACTTTTGGCAATATAGTGTATGTACAATAGCATTTATACAGATGGGTTTTACTATAAAATGAATAAATAAAGTTTGGACAGAAGCTTTCTAAATTGAAGTGCAGTGGAAGGTAATTGCATATTACAGTTAAAGTACGTTATTGTAGATGTAAATGTAAACAATTGGTGCTGTGAATAAACAGTCAGCAGTGCAAATATAAGCAGTCAGCAGTGCAAATCAATATTCAGTCAAAGTGAGTAGTGCAAGATGCATGTAGACAGTTGTTACAATAGTAACAGTCAGGAGTGCAGGTGAACATTACAGTCTGGTAAAAAACAGAATAGAAAAATAGTGGTAGGTGTGAGGAAGGAGGGTAGAGTCTATCCGTGAGGGTTAGAGTTCAGTAAAGAAACAGCTCTGGGAAAAATGCTGTTCTTTAGTCTGCTGGTTCTGGTCCGGAGGCACCTGAAACGTCTGCCAGAGGGCAGGAGAGAAAACAGTCTGTGGGCTGGGTGAGATGAGTCCTTAAGAATACTGCGGGCTCGGTGTAGGCAGCGTTTTTATCCCACTTTGGAAGTTGCAACTCTTCTTACTCAGAATCTGTTCAAATTTATTAGTCCTCCAAAACCCTAAACAGCCCATGGTGCAGACCAGGGAGTAGTTGTAGTTTAACATACCTCTCTGCAGTGTCTCTACTGTATCCCACTCCATTTGGACACTGCCCTGCCCAAGGGCAAATAAATTAGAAAAAATCCCTTAGGATTAAATATTGATAATGTAATTAAATTTAAAATAACTGAAATTGGGGGGGAAAGTTTAAACTGTTTAATATGGTTAATTAAACATAACAAATCTTTTTTCAAAAATTATCTTAGTTAATGATCTGTGATGTGATAATAAAATTGATTTATGTTTTATGCGAGTCTATATATATATATATATATTAATATAAGATTTATTCTTTCATCTAAGCCTGTTAAATCCAGTTCTAACCAGGTTATTTAAGGAAGTATTCCATCTGATTTCCTTCTCCATTTTAGATGTGCTTTATCTTTCCCTGTTATGGGGATATGTAGCTACCTCAGGCTTTTAAGATAGCTGTGGTCAAACCTTTACTTAAAAAAAAAAATGTCTTTTGACCGATATCACTTGGTCCATTATAGACCTATATCCAATCTTCCTTTCTTATCTAAAATTTGTGAGAAAATATTTGTAAAACAAGTGTGCGATCACTCACACCATAATGAAGTTTTTGAAGAGTTTCATTCTGGTTTTAGAGCTCATCATTGCAATGAAACTGCTCTGGTGAAAATCACTAATGATATTCTCATGTCCTCTAATAATAGACCTGTATTTGTACTTGTCCTATTAGATCTGAGTCCTACATTTGATACAGTTGATCATAATAGAAAGACTTGAATAATTTGTAGGAATTAAAGGAACAGCTCTAGACTTCTTTAAATCTTTTTCCTCTTAAGATTTCAGTTTTTTTATGTTAATGACAGATCTTCATCCTGCTCCACGGTTACCTGTGGAGTATCACAGCGATCACTGGTATGGCCAGTGCTCTTTACTATATATATTCTTCAATCAGCAGAATAATTAGACAGCATAAGATTAATTTTCACTGTTATGCTGATGATACCCAGCTATATCTGTCTATAAATCCAGATGAAGCTAACCCATTACATAGATTACAGACATGTCTTGAAGACATAAAAACCTGGATGATTATTAACCTTCTGTTTCTGAATTCAGACAAAACAAAAGTTAATGTCTTTGGACCAGAGTCTTTGAAAAAGAAGCTGATTAGTCAGTCATTTCATTTGGAAGTGATTAAGTTAATCTCAGATAATAAAGTAACATTTCTTGGTGTTATTTTTCATCAGGGCCTGCCATTTTAATCCCATATAAAGGAGGTCTGTAGTAGTTGCTTCTTTTCTGCAAAAAATAGAACTATCCTGTCCAGGGGTGATGCTGAGAAAATAGTCCATGCATTTGTTACTTCAAGGCTGGATTACTGTAATTCTTTACTATCAGGAAGTTCACAAACTGTAGTTAAAAGCCTTCAGCCGATCCAAAATGCTGCAGCCAGAGTTCTGATGAAAATGAATGCGACAGATGATGTTTCTCCTACCATAGCTGCTTTTAATTGGCTTTCTGATAGATTCAGAATAGAATTTAAAATCCATTTTCTAAAGCCTTAAATAGCCAAGCTATGTCTTATATCAGAGATCTGATCATTCTTTATGGTCCTAACAGAGCACTTCACTCTCCATCTACACATTTACTAGTGGTTTGTAGAATTTCTAAAAGAAGAATGGGAGGCATATCTTTTAGTTATCAGGCTCCTCTCCTGTGGAACCAACTGCCAGTTATAGTCCATAAGGCAAAAGCCCTGTCTACTATCAAGGCAAGGCTTAAAACTTTCCTTTTTGATAAAGCTTATAGTTAGAGTGGCTCAGGTTATTCTGAGCTATCTCTATAGTTATGCTGCTATAGGCTTAGGCTGCTGGAGGACATAGGGACCCCTTTTCCTTATTCTGCTTCATTCTATCTATATTCTTCCCTTCTACAGTATTAGTTAGTTCAATCTCTAACGTTAAGTTCTCTCTGCTTTTTGTCATCATAGTAACTTCATCTGGTCTGTTCCTGTTTGGCTGTCACACCATCCCAGAGAGAAATATCAGCTGTGCTACTGCCTTCAACACCTGTCTCCTTGAACCTTCCCTTTCCTCCCCACTACTGCTACATAAATTTTTGGTATGAGGAATTGCTGTCCAGTCAATGAGTTGATGCAATTGGAGTTGAACCAATCTGACTGTATAATCTGGTTGAATTGTATCTGTAAAGTGCCTTGACGTAACTTGTGTTGTGAATCGGCGCTATATAAAGAAACTGAATAAAAAAATTGAATTTACTGGATTGTCTGGAATAAAATTTTTGGTTTATTTTTTATTCATTAGTTGATTCACATTCCTTTATGGGCAGTTTCTTATTTATGTATTCTGTTCCTTTCCCTGGGGGAGTCAGAAGACATATCCTTGGTTATTAGTTATAGCAAGTCTTAGCTGTTAGTTAGTCTTCCTCCCTCAGTATCCCTGCTTTCATTCTTCTACAGATGTTCCACAAATGAGCTCTTTTTATTCCTTACTCTCTTTGCTGGTGCTGCTTGTCTGGCCTCCATGGCCTGTTCTTCCTCAGCTGCCCTCTAAGTCCTTATCTAATTTTGGAGAAACTCTGTTTTTCCACAGTCTGCACTTAGGTCCTTTTACAAACCACTTCACAAAACGTTGAAAAAAAGGTTTTCTTCATGTAGTTTAAAGTGAACATCTATCAGCTTTTAGATGGTCATAATATAGAACATAGACCAAATGTAAAGAGTTGAGACTGGGGCAAAGTAATTAATAATTTTCTAAAACTACATATTCACATCTCGTTTTATTTTTCTCAAATGCAAAACAGAAAAGATTGATATTAATAATGTCATACAGTTTCTGGTTTCTTTTTTAAAAAGTCGAAACACGAGGATAAGCAGGTAGGAGGCATAGGGGGAAGGAAAGTGCAGACGTCACAAAGACTCTCACACTTGTTGCTGCCTTCACGGACACGTTAAGACTCGGAAATCTGCGATATTGTGGTAAATTATCGATCTAACTAGATTAGTTTTAGATTTTATAAATTCAACATTAAATACTAGAGATCAATAATCTCCGGGCGTTGGAACCTCTCTCTTTGTGCCGAAATTACACGGGAAAAGACACTGATGACGACGGAGGCATTTTAGATTTCCGATAGCACATAAAGGTGTCAACAACAAAAGCAGGTTTCAGGGAAGGGGGGGGCAGGATATTCGCTGTAGCTTTGTCTCCCGTATCGTCACTGTCTACAGTAGCTTAGAATTATTTTACCATAATAAATAACATTTTAGCTAATTTAGCTAACGATAAAAAATGCTTCAGTCGCTAGCCAGCAATTCTTGCGTGCGTTTGATACAGAATCACAAATCAACGTGGTATTTCGTATCTTTAATTTTGGGCTATCTCCTTTATCTCGTATTCGGCGCCGTCGTCTTCTCGTCGGTCGAGCTGCCGTATGAAGACCAACTGCGTCAGGAGCTGAGGGCCGTTAAAAAGCAGTTCCTGGTGGACAATGATTGTCTGTCCGAGGAGCGACTGGAGCGGTTTTTAAAGAAAGCCTTAGAAGCCAGTAATTATGGGGTTTCTATTCTGAATAACGCCTCGGCTAACTGGAACTGGGACTTCACCTCCGCACTGTTTTTCGCCAGCACGGTGCTGTCCACCACAGGTAGGTCCCTGCTGGATGATGCTGCTGCAGCATCCTCACCAAATATGTGCTAAAAAAAAAAAAAATCCTTTCATTGATACTGTGTGGATAATTGGTAAATAATAACAATTTCTTTCAATTACAGATTAAATTAGTTAATAATCAAAATGCAAAAAGATTTTTAAGAATGTGCAAAATTAGGCCTATAAGACCATTGGTCATCCTATTGTACCAAACTGGGTAATTACGTTTAATAACAAGTTAATAACCTAACAGCAGAGGTGCCTTTTCATGCTCTGTAATCATGCCTTGCTCAATAGGATCAGCAAAGCCACAGCTATCTGGGGTTTCAACATTATTCACCCTGATGATACCTCACGGCAATAACTATATGGTGACTTTGCAGACCTCTATGTGGGACTGAATGTAAGAGCTTCCTGCTTTTGTTTGTGGATGCATTTAACATTCATCTCAGCTGCTACTGCAAGTTTTCAGCACTTTGCTGTGGTTTGAGTTGGGTTTTTTTGCTTTATAGTTTTATGACACAATTCAGTGTTACATTGCTATATTGCAATTAGATAAGGCCCCACATTCTGGGGTGGAGCTTGATGGTGGGCCAAGGGTGGCCATGCCCTTAGCCAATCATTTGCCACCCCCTATCATTTTTTTCCCTCTGAAGTAGAATTTTAAAAACATTTTAATTTTATATATATTAACAATTACTTGGCAACAAAAAAACGGTGGTTAATTATGCACATCAATATACCAACATTAGAGATGATTAGTGCAGAAATCATGCTCTTTCAGAACTATATTTTGTGTTATATGCGGTAAAGAGAAAAAAAATCTAAGATACTGTGAAATCATAGATACTGTAAATAACAATTTTAATGAAAAAACTATTAAATTATCAATTTATGTAGATATTAATACTTGTAAATATCAGTTTAATGTAGAATGATATTGATAAAAGTAGGTAAGTAATGATTGAAAAGATGTTTGCTCCAGAACTCAAACCTGAAAGAATTTGATCCAAAATACCTTTTATCTAGACGGATGTTTAAATATATGCATCTATTTGTTAGCAAATGCTGTAGGAAACTAGTTTGTCTTTATTTAGAAATGTGGATGTTGTGCTTGTTCCTGTTGGAACAGTGTAGATTGACCCTGAGGTTCTGCCACCCATCCAGTATACATTGGTTATTGTCTGGCCACCCTTATAAAAATTTTCTGGCTACGCCTCTGCCCACATGGAAAACACACCCTTTATTTTTGTCATAATTTCTCGACTTTTTGCACTCTGTTTAATGCAGCATAAGCTAAAGAATATAGTAAAGCATGCTTTGCTGAAATAATTAATATGTTTGTCTCCTCTGCTTCACCTCAGTGAGCTTGGGTGCTTTAAAATCTCCTCACAAGAGCATAAAAATATCCTAAACCTTTCCTTTCTGCACTCCTATTACAGTACGGCCTCAAATTTAATCTCAAACCTAATCCTGAAGATTTTTAGTTGCAAAACCGTGCCCTAAAACAACTCAAATACGAAGCCTTCAATATTTAAAACGCCCTTGTTTAGAGTTGAATAAATACCAAAATGAACTTGTTAAAAACAAAAGCCTACCCTGATCATTAAAAAAAGAAAACAAAAGATTTCTATAATATATTTAATTTAAAAAGAACAACTAAACTTTGTGTGCCGGCTAGAACTTTAATTCAGAACGTATTAAAATCAGTGAGGATGGCATTAAAGGTGTGCCAGCAGCCTCCATCTTTGTCTGAAGCTTAACGTTTATGACTACCTGGTGTCTTCCTTGTTCTGGTTTCTTTGTGGATATGGTTTATATTGTACAGAAGAACAAACATAAGTGCAGCTGTTCACCAATATGACCTTTAAAAGCAGAAAGGTAAAATGGGAAGTGATTCTTCTATTAAATTAAAAATAACCCACAGGGAATTTTTCAAAAAACATCCAACCTCAGTTTTTTTTCAGAGTACATGTAAATTACCTATTAACCCAATCCCTATGTGTAAAAGTGAGCATGGATGTTCTAAAAAAAAAAAAAAAAAAAAAAACAGCCTTTGATTTGAACAAGATGGCCGCTGTGAAGTTACTTCAATCCTGACTGAAAACCTTTTTCACACCTCCATATTTCTTAGACTATCAGAGGAAAGGTTTATATTTATATTATATTTCTACAGGGCAGAATTATGTGAACAGTTTACAAAATGAAACTGAAGTATATAGTTTCAGATGGGAAAAGGGAATTTCAAAGGTAACTGATTCTAACCCTGTGGCTGAAACTTCCCGTCCCACCTGTTTTAGTTTCAATATTTCTGCTGTGATTTAGAGAACTGGTGAAAAAAAAAAAAGATCTGTGAAACTTGCAGAAACACACCCATAGATACCGAGGTCACCATTGTTCCTTTGCAGTGTGTAATCAGCAGCTCATTGAACACATATGTAAATTAAGCATGCCGTATCTGTTTTTGGTCTACAGTTCAGAGCAGATTTTATATTGATTTAGGATTTTTTGCATGCCTTATACCCCAGTGTTTTTAGAGATTTTTATAATTTTATTTACCTATTTCATATTATATGTTTCATGTTGCACGATTGTACCATAAAAAATTCCTAGTTGTGAACTCCTTCACTAACAATGGCAATAAACCCGATTCTGATTCTGATCTGATTCTGAAAACTTGCATCAGTGCAACAACTGAAATTTTGTTCTATATAGAAGCCCATTTTAGATCTAATACATTTGCTTTGTTTGTGTTTCCAACAGGATATGGTCACACAGCACCTTTATCCGACGGCGGCAAGGCCTTCTGCATTATTTACTCCATGATCGGCATCCCCTTCACCCTCCTCTTCCTCACCGCCGTGGTCCAAAGGATCATGGTGTTTAGCACACGGAGGCCCATCACTTACATCCACACGCGATGGGGTTTCTCCAAACAGCTTGTGGGCATCGTTCACGCCACCCTGCTGGGCATTTTGGCCGTCTCCTGCTTCTTCCTCATCCCGGCTGCCATCTTCTCTGCATTGGAGGAGAACTGGAACTTCCTGGAGTCCTTTTACTTCTGTTTCATTTCGCTCAGCACCATTGGCCTTGGAGACTACGTACCCGGAGAAGCGGCCAATCAAAAGTTCAGGGAGCTGTATAAAGTGGGCATCACTGGTGAGTTTGAAGGAGATCCTTCCATTTCTGGGTGGTGGCGCATTGGGCATTGATTATCAAATTATCATGCTAATTTATCGTTTTTATTTGGTATATTCTGCAGCAAAAGATTCCCAGGTGTTTAGATTGCTCTAGCTTAGACTTAGGGTAATGTCCTCCAGCTCCTCATGTGATATTTCCTTACTCTTCCTGACAGAAATCTATTAGACTGCCCTCCTCTAAGCTCTATAGTCATGACAACACAGATTTTCTATTAGGTTTATTTTTTGCCTGTAGCTGGGCTGCTCCAAACTTTCACATAATGAAGTCATTCCTGTATTGGTTTGATTGTATTCTTGGGTAAAAAAAGAGATGCTTGAATATTGAATATTCAATATTTTGCTTCCTAGTGGAACAAAGACACCTAAACTTCTTTGATCCAAATTCTATCTCAGTATGAACTGCTCATACTTTCACCCATCTCTATTGAAGCCTTATTTCAAGATATGTCATTCCAGATCATGATGCTGCCTTCACCGTGTTTCATTAAGAACATTTTAGGTAAACCTTGGTTCTTCATTTTAAAATGGCAGACTTCTGTCGGTCAACCATAATTCTTAGTCCAGACACATGGGGGATAGAGGAGGCTACTGTCACATACTGAACAGAACCAGTACCAACCAGAAATTACAGCAGATGCGTCGTTCTGCCTCCTGATGCTTTCTGGTCCCTTTATTAAAGGAAAATGTAATTTTTTCTCTATGATTTACCTTATTATAGATGACTGTTTTTTACTGGGCTGATTTATAGATCTATAATACTGAAGGATATTTTTCATGGACCCTCCTCCTGACAGATACATTTCTGCAATATACCCTTATCTTTAGTTATTTTTTTGTAATCAATAGTGCTACATATAAAGGATGCAAACTTCAAGAAAATTAAACAACTTTAATGTCTAATAGCTATTTAAGACAAATCTGAATCTAAAGCAGTGGAAAGGAAAGCTGTTTGAGCTAACTGTTTTCTACATTTATAAATTTATTTTACATGTTTTAGTTTGTCCCTTACACATAAGTCCATGTTTTATAAGCTTGAAAGTGTGTACCTACTTTTAAAAGTACAGTACTCCAACTGTTTTTTTATTTGTGATTCTTGCTATTCTTCCGACCCTTAAAGCCAAACTTTTCTTCTGTTGTCTTTAGGTTTATTCAACAAAGGGAAAGAAAAATGAAGCATTTATTTTCACGCACTAAACGCGTCACCTAATCCATAGAACCATAAGGATCTTAAAGAGAGGCCTTGTGAACAGAAACCTTTTGCCTGTAATGATCCACAGCCTGCATGTCTCTGCTTGCATTAGTGGAATATAAAACCGCTATATAACCTAGAATCCAATGAAAATTGATTCACACTAGATAAGATATCTTCAGTGGAATAAGTTCTCTTTCTGAGAATAGAAGTTGAACCATGAAAATATCAAATCTACATGACTTTATGATGGTGTGCTTTGACCTGCACACGTGTAACACAATCAACTAGGTCAGTTCCTTGATTCGTGTGTGGAAACCAGCAGAAGTGTCATTAGTTCTCTATTATATCACCATTGACATGCTGACTGTACTAGAAAACAGCTGGGTGTTAATAAACTGAGCAATAATAAACAAACCAAATAACGGGAAACAAAATGTCAATTTTTCAATTACTTCAGTAACAAATTCCCAACGCTAAACAATAAGCATAGAAGAAAGTTTAGACTTTCAGTATTGACCTTTCCTCTTTATTAGGCAGCATATCATATTTTGACTCTAATTTTATGTTAGAAAATTCAATAAAGAAACACCGGAAATGCTTCATTGCTTAATGCCTGTGCCACATCATTTATATGTTATAAGAACAATGAATAAAACATGAATATCAGAAACAAAATCCTCAAAGCAGAAATCGACGTCTTAATAAAAAATGTAATAAAGTGTAGAGTGTACAATTTTAGGTTCATACTAGACATGTATTGGTTACAGGGATTTAAAAAGCTGCATTTATAAGAAGCTAACTGCTGCTGCACACTTCCCATAAGCTGGCTGAAGGACGGCTTCAACACACTTCCTACTTGCACAACCCAGAAAATCTATAGAAATATCCCTATATATAGGAAAACACAGACAGCCGTGCTTTGGAAAGGAGCAGCTATAGCCGCTATACTTTACAGCAGACAAATTCATTTAGAGAAGATGTAGCAGGTGGTGCAGGTGGCGCAGTGGTTAGTGTGCTCGACCCATGTATGGACGCCTTAGTCCTCGACCCGGGTTTGAATCCATCCTGTGGTCCTTTGCTGCATGTCTCTCACCCTCTCTCATTACCCCTTCCTGTCAGGAAAAACAAGCCACTAGTGCCGTAAAAAGAAAAAAAAGAGACAATGTAGCAATCCATCCGCTTGTTAAACTTGAGTTACTTTTAAAAGATGGCAGCAAAATATTTTAATTTTTAAAACAATGGAGCTTCCTTGAAACCTCTACTGCATCAAAATAACCTTGAATTTTTGTTCTAGATTGCATTAATATCACTTTAATATTCACATCTTTTACAGGAGTATAAATAATTGCTGGGGGGTTAGATTATATATCAAATCTTTGGCTTAATAATTCTATAGCTGCATATTGGAGAAAAATGAAATTCAAGTAGTGCTGCATGTTAGTGTTTTAACTATTGGGGATTGTAAACCAAACCACAGGGAATCATTTCCATTGAGAATTTTAACAGCAGAACTAGTGTAGAATCTGCTGGAACCCACAGTACTGCAGATTTCTGAACAAATATATATCTATAGCTCATCAAAAGTAGTGGGTAGTAACTGAGGAAGGAGGAGTTGACATTTCCTTGTTTGTTTGAAACCATAACAAGATGGTTTTTGTCTCAAAGTGGGCCTTGGCTGACTGCAGGCATTGAGGCAGGGACTGGATTTCTGGGTGACTTGCTGTCAGCAGCCCTATTGGAGGCTAATAGCGTCTTGAATGGAACGCAGTTCCAGAGCTCATAGTCCTGACAAGCTGTGGGTGTGCGTGAAGCCAAAAGCTGCTGTAGTGAACAGTCTCCGACATGTGTGACGTGGGAGTTCGATACGCTGCAGCCAGAGAGGTGACGTCAGTCAGCAGGAAGAATGTGTCAGTCAGTGGGAGGGAAACAAAAAAAAAACACATCTCCAACAGAACGGACTTGTTTGCAAAAACAGCATCAGTTGTAAAAACTTCCTTTATGCTTAATAAAAAAACTGTAGGAAGTGACATCACCTCTATTTCCAAAACGACAGGGACCCTGGATCCAAACGCTCTTTATTCATTTCTGACAAATATGTTTCAATTGTCACTCACACAGACAGCAGGAAACTCTCACTTTCAAGGAAATGTTTTTGAAGACATTATAATTACAGCAGATGCTTTTTTCCCCTCAAACTCAGAGTTTCCATAACGTAAAAGTCATAAAAACGTATTTAGGGACAAACCTGAAAACAACTCTGAATACACTCATAGACGAGCTTCTTTAGGTAATGGACAGCTAACTGCTGCCCTCTTGTGTTTGTGAAGTAAGGAACAGATTTTTACAGCATAATAATATTTCAGTAGTGCCCAGTGGTGCTGTAAAATTAATTAAAAAGATTAATGATAATAAAAACTAAGACTACAGATCCATGTCAGTAAATTGCAAATTCATCAAAAGGCTTATTTCAATAAAAAGTGAGGCTTATGGAACATAAATAAGGGTGCACTGCTCAATTAATTGGGAACTAATGATTTCCTTTCATTTTAGGAGATTTCTGCAGATACTTAGATGTGAAACTTATCTTATCTACCTCTGCAGTAGTCTGAGAATCAGCCCAATGTCAAAGCTCTAAACCTTGATTTATATGTAAGAGCAGTAATTCGAGAGGTTTTTATTGCATCAATGGTACTGATTAAACTTTTCTCAAGATTAGGTTCAACATCGACACTTTCTTGTTATGCAATAACAACTGACAGTGTCAGTTCTCAAAAAAAAAGTACAGACATGTTACATCATGACCATGGTGTGCTCGACGCTGTCATGGAGAAGACCAGCTACTCAGAATTCAAATCCTCCACAGATAGTCGTTGTTTAGAGAGCACGGCCATCTGCTGGCGGTCTGCTGAGTTTTAATGTCAGTTGTAAAGAGAAAGACGAAAGACTGCAGTCCCGGCAATGGCAGCCATTAAAGCAACCTGGGATGTTTAACACCATGCGGTCACAGATTGACCTTCTCCATTGCACAGGCTGCTTTTAATGTATAATATGTTGACGTACTTTGCTGTGATGTAAAATTCATAGGTGAAAAAAATAATAAATTCAGATTTTTTTAAGTGTTTTTTTAGGTTTCCATAAGCTGTAAGCTAAAATTAATTAAATGTAATCAATCTAAGCAAGTTTAAAATAAACACATTTTAAAGATTAATTTAATTGTTGCAATGAACCTGTTTTTAAGCAGAAATTAAAGTGATAGATCCTGCTGTAACACTTCTTTATGGAATTATTAGTTCATGCATGTGTTGATTTGTTTCTCGTTCTGCAGTCTACCTCATCCTGGGGCTGATCGTCATGCTGGTGGTGCTGGAGACCTTCTGCGAGCTGCAGCAGCTGAAGCAGCTCAGGAAGATGTTCTACCTGAAGAAGGAGAAGCCGCAGGACCGCATGGCCATTCTGGAGCACGACCACCTCTCCTTCACCACCGTGTCTGACAATGCCGTCACCAAGAGTGTGGACAAAACCAAGACGTTTGTTGGCGTCCCGACTCTTACCTCCCCTAACGATGACCCAATGATCCAGTAAAGAACGCTCGAAGTGTAAAAGAGGGGAATAAGAATGAAGGGTGGAAGTTAGGATGAGGAAAAACCCATCAAAGCTTTAGGCAAACTTAAGATAAAATCAGTTCAATTACACAGATCAAGCAAGCAGCACCAACTTTTAACCCACAAACCTGACAATGGTGATGGGGTTAAGCAGCAGAGACATAATCTACATAATAAAGGAGAAATTAATATTTTAACAATGCCCATAAATACAAAGGCAGCGATAAAAGGAGAATCCTCTGCTGTATTTATGAATCACTAAATCTAAGCGCCTTTTAAAGCTACATTATTTATGGCACACTTGGGAATATTTGATAAAAGATTAATCTCTTATATCTAAATTAGGACATAAGTTGAGTTATATCTTTAAAATAGAGTTTCTAGACTCAAGTTTTTGTACATAATCGGGTGGATGTTTCAAACGTACGAAGTGAGAGTGGAAACTTAAACTGATACTGTATCTAAAAATATCACTCCATCATGGCCTGTTTTAGTTTTTTTTTTTTTTTGGGGCATTTTTTTTTTCTTACACCTTCAGCTGCAGAGCTTAACAGGCCTTTTATCGATGTCAGTATTTATTTAATTATTGAGTTTTATTTTGAAAGAAAATAAAAGCGTGTTGCACAATTGATTACGAAGGTTACATAAGGACAGGGTTATCAATTTTATTTCCATTTAATTTGCTGTTGATTAACAAATAGAACATGTTTTTAAAAAGTAATTTATAGAGCTGCTGTGTAAGATTATCGTATGTTCTCTTCATATTTCATACATTTCTGGATCTTCTTTACTGTGGTGTTAACTTCTCCTGGTTGCACTATGTGTTGTCATTGTGAGGGAACAAAAAGATTGCTTACATTTGTTTAACCTCAACTGGTTGAGGCCCTCCCCTCAAAGCTGTCCACGTGTAAAGCCTGCAGGTTATTGATCCGTCCCAATGGTTGAATGAGTGTTTTGGATAAAAGGGAAGTGAGGTTAGTTAAAAACATGAAGGAAATTTAAACAAAAGGGATTTAAACTGTAGATTTGACTGTATTTATAACGATTGAATGTGGAAATGTTTGTTTTTGGTTTTGACTTGAAAAACGTTTACAGATTGCTTTGAATGACAGAGATACTGTACCAGGAAAACTTGAAATCCATCTCCGGCTACAGTTCCTGTGATTTGCTGCAGCAGTTTTGCATCCATGCATCTCATAACAAAGCCAGTTATTTTGCTGCTTATGCTGTTTGGAAGATTAGCACAAAAACATCCATCTACAGAGTTTCAAGGCTTTCTAAGCCTTGGAGAGAATTTTTGTGTCATCTCACATTAGGGCTGCATCAATCCCTTTTTTTTAAGCGCTTGAATGTATTCAATGTACTGTTTTTTTTCCTCTATGTAAAGCATTGTTTTAGTTTTATTGGAATGTTTAGGATTTTTTTCTACTGCCTAGCTTAGTAATAATTGGAATTTTCCGCCTTTAAGTGAATTATATCACCTTTAAGACAGTAATGAATTAAAATGAGTTATTGTTTCTCACAGATTGCATTAGATGAAATTGAAATAATGATGAAATGCTGCATCAGTGCTTGGCAAGCTTGTCAGGTTGACAAGCTGCCTTCATGATCAATGGTGTCAATCCTTAATTTGGGCCAAATAATGAACTTTTTTAGGTGTAGAATAAAAAGCCTTCTGGGGATCTGTTAACGTTTCCATCTTACAGTTAAAAATGGTCATGTCAGGTTTAAGTTGCTTTTGCATGAACTACTTTTGATTTTTTATAGGTTTGAAAACTAACCTGCTCTTCTGTAAACTCCATTACATTTATATTGTTTTGTTGCTGGAATATTTTTTTCCACACCATTCTGGGCCTTTGTAAAAAAAAAAAAAAAAAAAAAAAAAACAACTGTGAAAAATTGATTGTCTGCTGAGTAGAAAATCATTTAGTAAATTTTGTCTCTTACTGTAAAATGTCTGGTTTGTAGCCGCATCTCCAGCTTAATGTCTGTGGTCCTGCTTTTACATGTAGTTTGACCTGAAAGCGAGAGCTGTGAGGGAACAGGATTCCAGTTTGTATTAGAGAGAAGACATTATGTGAACAACGACAAATGGAAACGGCGACCATTTTTTTTATTTATGCTGAGAAAACTGACATTTTTGGAGTATTTGGATCCATGAGCTTTTGTATATATATTTTTTCAGTTGTTGTCAGTGATGTTGCATATTCTGATGCACAGTTAAGTATTTTACTGTTACAATGTTAATAATTCAAAACAGTAGTGTCACTGGTTACCTGATATTCATTTCAGCATAAGACAATACACTGTAAAATGAAAATCCAAGCTGTAAAACTGTCTGAAATAAAATGTTGGATAATAATACCTTGAGGATTTCTCAAATTACTTCATCCTTTAATCTGAATATATTAGAATATTGTAAAAGTTGCTTTATTTTACTAAGGAATCCAAAAAGTCCCATATTGAAATTACGAGCTGTTACACAAAAGATATTTCAAGCATTTCATTTGATGACTTTTAAACAGACTTTCTTAGGATTAGGTCATTATAAAAGTCAAATAATAAATCTTTATGATTTGTCATGTGACCCTAAATAAATAGATGACTGCCGACTTTACAGCTTCTTGACATCTTCAATATGGATGGTTGGACAAAACAAAAATATATAAGCTGGGTTCTACATGTAGCACAGTGAAGGAAAGTTGAGTGGAAGGAAAAGGAGTGGTCAAAAAGGTAGCAAAGCAAGATGAAAAGGAGCATAGACGAAGTTCCCTTTATATAACATAAATCTTAATGCTTATCATCCATCCATCTATTTTGAAGTTTCACTACTTGCAAGTCATAATCATTGAAGCTAAGAGGAGTACATATTTCAAAGACACCACTGACACTACATTTGAAATAACATTTTTAGAATTGATAAACTATTTTTATTTCTTAAGCTTCCTTAACTTCTGCCATACAGTAGGAAGATGAGGACTCTTGCTTATGGTGGTTTAACCCCTCGGATATATGGTCATATACAGTGTCAGCTTAAAGAAACTCAAACAGTTATATAACGTTAAATTACCAGAAAAGTGGATGAAAGATAAAGAAATTTAAAAGAATAACACAATATAATCTACACACATCTATCAGCTGACATAAAAGAAACGAGGAGAGATAATGATAATGAAAGAGATTATATGCAGGGTCATGCCTTGCAAAATATTCTGCTACTTAAATGAACTGCTTCATCCTCTCATCTCTTTGATTTCTAAAAAGAAGGTGGAGGATCAGAACATCTCTGTGCAGTAATTGAAGTCTGAGAGCTCAGATATCCCAGTGAGTAATTAAGTAGAAGTGTTGTTTTCGTTTAACCAAGGTACAAAAGCAAGATCAGACTCAGTACTTCTTAACGAAGCACTAATAGCTATTAGAAACAGTATTAAAACTGGACAATATCTGGAAAAACAAAACTTCATTAAGTAAAACGCAGAAGAAACCCCTTTCTTGTATTTGCATCATTCTCAGTTGAATGATGTAGATCATTCTGCTGAGAACATAGTTTATTGTGTCTTGCAGCTTCAGAGGTGCAGTGTCGAGCTGAGGGAAGTAGATTTAATAGTGCAGCGCTTTTATTTTATTCAGCAGCTGTATTTTTTATCTCAGAGAAGTGTAATTACCTCTGACATGCAGGCACTTTTCCCTGCAGAGCAGCTCAACCGACATCTGTATTGTCAGGTTTTATGGGGGGAAAGCCGCTCCGAAACTTGCTAGCAGCAAGTTATATTATTGGATGCATGTAGCAAAACCACAATTACCAGTAATTGGAAATAACTGTCAGAGACGTTGCCTAGTCATTTGAAGTATAAATGCATAATGTTGGAAGGTGCTTTATGCTTGCCATGTTTGTTCATTCAGATGGTGTTATAATTCAGCAACAAATAATGTGATCGGATCAACAACCTTTGAGTACTATTAAATTGATGTTCTCTGTAAAAGCAGCTGCCGCATTTATCATTCGCAGGCTTTTCTTAGAACCTCCCAAATCGAATCTTTGCAGGCGGATATCGGATAGTCATTGCATAAGATTGTCTGCAGCTTCCAGTTGAAATGATTTCATGTTTTCACTGCAGTCTGTGGACATTTGGCTTCAACCGTCAAATGCAGGAAAATTTTCCTGTGGTAGCTTCAGGAAATCTGAGAGGTTTCAATGTAATCCACTTATAGTGTGTTGTGAAAGTATTCAAATTTATTGCAACTACATATGTATGTACACTACATATTTAAACAAGTTTATTTATGTGATCAAATTAAATAATGTTTCAGAAAATTTATTATTTTTTTGAGAACATCCATTTTATGTCAGGTTGTGGTGGAAGGTGGTTGAGGACCTAATTGCAGTGATGAGGAGGCAGAGATGGGTTCTTGCATCAAGACTTCTGTTGCAGAAGGCAACAGAAGTCCTCAAACAAAATACAGAAAACCAAAAAAAAAAAAAAAAAAAAAACAGGAGATGCCAGAGAGAAGCAACACATGGGAAGCAAAGCAATGAATCAACAACACAGCAATCAGGAACTGCAGAGATGGTGTATATATGGGGAACAGAACAAAGAATGGACTAATGAGCTCATATGGAGGAGCTGTGGATAGAAGCAACTATAAGAGAACCAAGGGGAAAGGAAACTGGCACAAGGGGGCAACAGAGAATAACACAAAAACTCAACACTGCCAGAACAACTACAAAGAAACAACATTACAGAGAAACAAAAAATAAACCTAAACAAATGGCACCTAAACAAATAAAGAAAATTTAACACGAAATCCAACTCTAATAATTGCTTTTTTTTCAGTGAGCTATAAATTAATTGAAGAGTTCCAACACAAATACAGATAATCAGCACAGTAAGAACAAAGTTCAAACCAAACTAAGAAATATAAGCATTTATACTCAATGATTGACTGAAAGCGTATATACTTAGTAAAACTGCTTTTGCTCCTTTTACTTGCAGCAAAGCTTTACGAACATTAGACCACAGGAAGCCCCCTGGACCTGACTTGATTGAGCCTTACTTCCTAAAACTGGCAGCTGATTTCATAGCAGAGCCACTGTCCATTCTTTTTAATCTTTCAATTGAAAACAAGGACATCCCATCTATTTGGAAATCTGCATTTGTCCTTCCTTTATTAAAAGGAGGTGATCCATGAGGTCTTACCAATTATAGGCCAATTTCAAATGTATGTGTTTTAACTAAAATTTTGGAGTCTCTTGTTTGTGATCAATTGAAAAAGTTCCTCTATTCACATGAAATCCTTTCTAAATATCAATCAGGTTTCATTAAAAACACACTATTACTGCTACTATGAAGGTGATACATGATATAATTGTAGCACTTGATAAAAACAGTACTGTGCTTCACTTTTTGTTGATCTTTCAAAATCTTTTGACAGCATAGATCATGCTATTTTAAAATGTAGGCTACTTCTTATTGGCCTGTCAGAACATGTGGTTGCTTGGTGTTTAAATTATCTAGAAAACCGGTCCCAGTGTATAAAGTGTGACAGGCTTTGTTCTGAATTTGTTACTGTTCACAAGGGTGTGCCACAAGGTTCTGTTTTTGGCCCCCTCTTATTAATCTTGAACATCAACAATGTTGAGCAAAATTTCTCTGATGCTAAAATGCATTTTTATGCAGATGATACAATTATATTGCTTTGGGTCATCTCTTGAACAGGCTACTCATTTCTTTGTTGAAAGCCTTTGCTGCTGTAAAGTATTCATTTATTAATCTTAAATTATTTCTTAATCCTGACAAAACAAAGTTAATGTTGTTTTCAAATAATAAGAAGGTTCCTCAAACTGCCAGTAGTGTCCACTCTGGAGGGGTATGTCATTGAGGTGGTACATGAATATAAATACCTTGGAACTGTAATTGATGACTCCCTCAACTTCAAACCTTTTATTGACAAACTTGTTAAGAAATTAAAAGTTAAACTGGGCTTCTTTCATAATAAGACATGTTTTTCTTTTGGAGTAAAGAAGCGCCTCTGCCACGTTTTTATCGATGTTAGATTATGGTGACCTTTTTTTATAAGAATGCTACTTCTTCATGTCTTCAAATGTTGGACTCTGTTTACTATACTTCATTAATGTACATCACAAACTGTAGAGGCATGACACATCACTGTGACCTTTAGTCTGAGGTGGGATGGCCTTCCCTCTCTATGAGAAGGCAGTGTAATTGGTACACTTTTATTTACAAGGCCCTTCTTCGATTACTGCCCTCTCACATTTGTACCTTACTTACACAGAAAAGCATGGCTTCTAATGCCCTGAGATCCAACGATCAGCTGTTGCTCACCGTTCCTTTTGCCCGCACAGAACTAGGGAAGAAAGCTTTTACCTACGCAGCTCCTTGTGCGTGAAAATTCTTTTACAAAGAAACTGGAAATTGACAGAGTTTATTATTTTTATTTTAAATGCTTTTAAGTTGAAAGTGAAATAATTTGAAGCAGCCTCAATGATCTATAGTTGTTTTACTTTAT